GTAGTTCTTGAGTTATGTACAACAACGTTTAACTTCCACAGAACGCCAGTTCACCGCTTTTAAAGACAGTGATCACAATAATCGAGGGTTATAAGCTTCAGACCAAGCCTCCATCGCTATCCGGAAATTTGCAAGTATCGTTCTCACACTAGAATATAGTAGTCGTACATCAATTTAATCATCCCGTATATCACCTTGTAACATGACCCCATTCCCAATTCGATGTATCTAGAAAGAAGGTCAGTGACTCCAAGTCAGGTTTCCACATTATACAGCTACACGACATAAGAAGTCACTCCTTGCAGTTTGGTCAGGTAGTTTATTAACACCCAGTATATTCAACTATCTTTAAGAAAAATAAAAAACGTTTAAAGAACTGCGGGAATATTTATGGTATATGTACAAGATGTTGAGCATTGATACACGTTTTGTGAAGTATGTACGGACTTTACCGTTTAATTCCTGAGATAATCCATATGATATATACACGAGCTTTTATTATAAATAATATATTTCGCAATGAACAAATTCACAATAGTGCCACAGAGTTGCATTTGAAAGATTTAGCTCAGTAGTTTACGAATCCGTGGTTCAGTAGCATTGATTTTTTCCAGTTTGTTTCGTTCAAAGCTGATAAGCCAATGGTTTCTGCCCTATCCAGACGCCCGGTATGGAAACGTGGTGATTGAGTATGATCCACGCACAGTCCGATCTCGTTGATGGGCAACGCGTCATGTGTGGTTATTCGGTTGGCGGTTGGAGGGAAACCCTTCAACTGTCATGATGGTAATACCTTATTACATATAATGTATGTTCTTTGACAGTCTTCTACGACGTCACCTAAAGAAAATGTTTAAGCAATTTCCAGAACTTCTGGTTCCATCTTTAACGACTCTTTGGAAAAAGGCTACTTTCCAAACACATGGAAACACGCTCTAATTATTCCAATTCCTAAAAAAATGAAACCTACTGAGTATAACGATCTCAGAATTATCAGTTTATTACCAATTTTATCCAAAATTTTAGAAAACATTATAAAGTTCCAATTAACCGCTTACCTAGAAAAATTCTTTATACTTCCCGACACTCAATCCGGTTTTAGAAAAAATTATAGTACAACATCTGCCCTACTTAATCTGCAAGACAATATTTTGAGTGCCTTAGATAAGAAAATGTCGTAGGGCCTCAGTTCATGAAATAATTGAACTTTGTGAGCCTTCATACCATCCCATTTAGTTAATATCAAGCATATAACTAGTTTTCTGGAGTATTACAGACGAAATCACAGATTATATTACTATTCTTCTACTACTATCCTGCCGATCTTATACTATACTGTACTTTTGAAGATGAATACTTTCTAGAACAATCTGTAGTAGCGCCATCTGAAGAAAGCGGTGCTAAGTCATTAAGAGCGAAAATCTTTCAACAAGAAACGAAGCTATTCAACTCTACTCACGTTACCAGTATGTATTATATACCACTTATAACTTCTGGATTTTGAACAGAAGTTTTAATATTAGCTTTTGCTTGAGAAGTTGAAAAGCGGCAAAAAGCTCAAAATTCAAATAGAAGTCTTTATTTGGATAACACATTTTATTGTTTCTTACTTATGGTCTTGCGCCAGTCTATTGTTGCCAGAATGTCATGAACTTGTACAGGGTGGCGCAGAAGAAACGCATCCCAACTAACAATTATCACTCCTATTAGAGTTGCAAGAACGATTATGCAGTCTTCCTTACACAGCATTGTATGCTGTAAGAACATCGGCAAAACCCTCTTAGAACATCTTCACAAGAGGAAAGGGCACATCTAATAGGACACTTCAGTCATTTAAGAGGTTGTATAAGGGCTGCAGGTAACAGTTGTACAACAAGTGTAAACCTCTTGCAGCCGCTTTAGAACATTTGCGTTAGTGCAAGATTCAGTTTTTGTCAACTATACAACTATTCTGTTACATGATTCTACTTTATTGCAACCAAAATATTTCTTATATATTGTATAGGCGAAGTGAAGAATATATAACTAACACATTACAGTCATCTTGTTTACTTACATATCGGCCATTGTGAATTTCATATGATAAACTTCTACACTGTGATAAAGGGCTATTGAATTACTTGCGCAGCAAATTTTATTGTGATTATGGTGCAAAGTAGTTACGCAATTTGTACGGGCTTCGTATTTGATTCATATTTTAATAATGATCAAAAGTATGTTTAGATTTTTAAGATGAACTTATCTGCGTTAAATCTTCCACAAATCCTATATATAGACACAATTACACTAATGTTTATCACTTTATGTCTGTAATGTCGAACTGAAACATAATTAATTAATTTTCAATAGAGGAATATATTTTTGCCCAATATGGCGGGTGGTTATGTATAATCATGGCATCGTCCATGTGCCTCTGGTTTATGAGAATATTTTGGTGTTATCTGCAAGTGTTATACAACAATTTAACAAATCTCTGAAATGAAATACGGACAGAGTCGAATGATGTACCCAGAATTTGTATCAGATCTATATCTCCTGTTTGAACAGTTGATAAAACCTTTTAAACCAATATGCATGTCTTAAAATATTGGTTATGGCATTTTAGCTAAAAAGATGACAGCAGAAAGTTAGGTTATGGTAAAGTTGTATACCAACATACTTAGCTACAAATGTATGCCGAGCACAGCAATTTTGTACTATAAAAGTTGTAATATTGTTGTAGATGTACAGCCTTTAACAGTTACTAAACGACAGTTGTATAAGTGCTTACGTTGGGAGCAATTTGTTGGCTAAAGTAGTAAATGTGCACACCAAAACAAGGCTCGGGTTTGTTGCATAACCGTTACCATGGATGCCACAACACAACTATTTTGACTACCGAACAAATATGCTGTAAAATAGTTGTATAAACTTTATGCGTCCGTTCAAAATTTGTCCTATAAGGTGTTGTATAACTATGCTATAAGAATATCTTAAACACCTCATTTTAGAGAAAATATGCTGCAGAAAGCAAATTTGCATTCCACACAACATTAAGCCAGGATTTTGGTGTTCAGGCAATAACAATAGAGAGCTTTTACGGCTGAGCAGTTCTTTTACCAGAAGCTTATAGCACTACTTTGCTAGTTGGGATGTTTTCCGAGTGAATAGAATTTCGCAAAGAGAAGTGGGTTGACCTTGCCTCACCGCCAGCAGAGAACACAGGCCGTGCAGTTTTAGCCATGGCACCGTGAACAACTGAGCATCGCGTGTTTGTGGGGTTACCTTTAGGCTAAAGTTTACCCTCACAAACCTTGTACGTTAGAGGAACTGAAAATTGCTATTCGTCAAGAACACGCAAGAATACCACAAGAAATGATCCTACGTGTAATGCACAACTTTCAAGAGCGGTTGGAGAGATGTGCGAACGCGAAGAAGGGCAACACTTGAGTGACATAATTTACCATAATTAACTTAAAAGTGCACTATTATTACTGTAATTAGCTGTAGTTAAAATAAAATTATCTTAAACATAAAAAATGTTATGCTTACGTGAAAATCATGCGCTTCCTCTGCGCCACCCTGTATAATGCCCATATATATAATCGCGACAGACCTATTCTCCTTAAGCTCCGCTATTGGAATGAATGTGTACAATAAACTGCCCCCCTAAACGGATGTTTTCGATTGCAGTGTGGTAAGGGGTAGGAAGATACCGTCTCATTCCATCGGTCGTCGGCTGGTACCATGACAGGGTTGTCATGTTCTCAGTGTAGTCGTTAATTCCAGATTAGCGCTTCTAAACTACGAAACCGATGATTTACAAAACTGTTGCTTATCGTCAGGAAGTGACCAGTCCGTTGCCCCATATTCATGGTACCGCTAATTGTTTCAACAAACGTATTTTAGCTCTTGCAAGTTTTAGATTATATACTTTTTAAAAGTATATAGGTAAGTTCATTTTTGAAATCTGCTAACTTCGGTTTTTCAGCAGCAGTGAGAATTTGCAGCCATCAACTTTAATCTTGGGTCATCATGTACAAGACCTCGTCCCCAATTATTTTGAGTATTTCTTCTCAGGAAAGGTCGCCTACTCCACTCCAGCTTTCCAGATTTCCGGAGGCTTATACGGCCAGACGGCCGTCTTATCCCGTGATGCCTCTAGGGGTGTTTGTTATTTTACCCAAGAGGCCGGAAGGTATTATATATATATATATATATATATATATATATGTGTGTGTGTGTGTGTGTGTGTGTGTCGATGTACTCGGCACTCGTTTGTTGTTATAAAAGCTCGCTTCACTAGTTAGGTTGTATACTAATGGACAACAAAAACTGAAAGAGCCACTGGTGTTGCCAAAAGGAGTCTTTTGAGTGTACTCAACATGTGCGTAGTGCGTAGGAGGTCAATTCCTCATATCTACCTGTACTCACCACGTGATTATGGACAAACGGACTTTGAATATGCATCATGTAATGTATATCTCAAAAAACATAAATGTACATTTTGGCATCTTTTTTGTTCGCCGGCTATGAAAAATCTTGTACTTTGACATTGGGAGATTTCACACCTGTATAGCCACAGCCTTAATAAGGCCACCAGTAGCTGAAATACCGACAGACAGCTTGACGGCGTTGTTGGCGATCTAATGACAAAATAGACATACACATGAGGCCATAGTTGGTTACTATGCTATTAAAATTGAATTACCTGATATATGATTATCATGAATTGGTGAAGACTCATAGGATACTTTAAAGAAACTTCTAACAATAACTTTATGTATAAATTTAGCATATATTTGTTGAGGGACTTATTCGGAGAAAACCTGTATCCGTGTGTAAATATTCCGATTCACTCAGGACTCCTTTATTGCTGTAACAGTTCGCTTCGCCGGATATGTTTAGATACTTACAGATTAAAAAATGAGAGAGCCACACATACTGCTAAGGGTTGCACTCCAGTTGTGCGTATAGATATAGCAGGGAGTCGGTATCCAGGTATAATAGGTATGACTTACCTTTCGCAGTCAATAAGGGGTGTGTTCATTCATTTTAGAACCGGCATGTGTGTTGTTATATTTGCCGCTCCTTCATAGCTATAATACCTTGCTTCACTAGTTGGGATATATTTATGTACTGACCGGTAAAGAAGTGGGAAAGTTATTCCCATCATGAAGCATATACAAGGTGGGGCATCCGTTGGTTTCTTCTTTAAATTGGTATTAAAATTACACTTTTCAATAATATGTAACACCCGATACTTTATTCAGAAGAATACACTTTCCGATTATTTATGAATAACAATTTCAGTTAAATGGCTGCCGTGGCTGGCCACATTTTCGATAGTTTGTGGGTCTATTTCATCAATAGCTCGACGGATATTTTCATCAATTGTTTAAGGATCGTTAGTGTACCAGCGGTCCTTAACAGTACCGCATGGAGGTAACCCATGGGCGTTAAATCACAGCTGCGGGCCAATGAACGTCTCCAAAATGGCTGATAACGCGATGACCGAACTTAGTGTGTAAAACATCGATTGTTCCACGGCTGGTGTGTCATGTTGCGCCATCCTGCTGGAACCAGAGATTGTGCAAGTTCATTTCGGCTAATAGTAGCCACAAAAGACTCCTCAACATGTCTCTATAGCGCTCCCTTACCTTCTTCATCTTGAAAAATGTAGTGACCAATAAACCCACCACTCCAAAAGCCACACCAAACAGTTACTCTTTTTGGATGCATTGGTTTTCTAAGGCGACGGACTTCAAATCCTACAGTTCTGCTTGTTAACGTATCCTCCCAGATGGAAATGGGCTTCGCCCGAAAAGATGATTTAACGATCAAAATTGACGTCCGTTTTCAATTGATTCCGAGCCCACACAGAGAAACGATATCGAAGCGGATGGTCATTTTGTTTCAACTCTTGCACAAGTTGCACCTTGTAAAGAAATAATCCCAGGTCATTATGCAATATTCTCCGTACAGAAGTGCAACTGATGCCCACTTGTTGTGCTCTGTGACCCGTCGAAAACGCTCATACCTTCTATTATTGGCGAACCTTCTTCACAAATTTCCGTATACCAGCCGCGGACGGAGCTTCATTCCAAATAGTCTTCTCAATTTTCGCAAAGTTTCTGCAACACAGCACTCACTTTGAAAATAGTTTATCAATATTTTCCACCTTTGTTTAAGATTAAAAAGATCCATTGCTCACAGTGGAAGTTTGACACAATATATCTGTCAATATGTTGAGCATGGAAGTGTTGCCAACTGTCAAAATAATACTAATTTAAAAAAAAAAACAACTGATGGGCCACCCTTTAAACGGTTTATTGTACAGACTAGAATCTATGTTATAGCAGCTACGATAAAGATCCTATTACAGCAATATAGGTATGAGCAAATGTATTTTCTTGAAAAAAAAAAACCATGGTGAAGTATGTTCATACAAGATTGACCAATAATTTTAACGTGACTATGGAAAGTGGGTTCGATCTATGCATTTACAAGTATATGACACATTTCATTTAAAGCAGTTGTCAGCTTTGTGTGTGAGGGGACCAATTTTAAAAGTTCCAAACATTATACACAAAACATGCTGAATTTGCAGCTTTTACGAGCCAACCGGTTTTTCACGGAGAGTCACGCACGCTCAGGCTTCCTCTTGTGGACGTGCGCTCACGATTGTAACATTACCTAAGCAAACGTACTGAAATTATTTGCATCATACAGGGTCCGGCAATGAAGTATGGTGTTTTTGAAAAAAAATACAAACTTTCATTTTTAAACATACATCAAAATTTATCATTTTAATACATTAGTGGAATGATGCCATTTAAGTAACATAACATAGTCAGGTGCGAAAAATTACATCAGTTAGGTGGCGTCCATTCTTGTCGATGCATTCTTGGAGACGGATTGCAAAATCATCCATACTCCTTTCTAGCATGGCACGAGGAATCCTTTCAATTTCGCGCGTTATGAGTTCCGAAAGAGCCTCAAGAGTTTGCGGTTTGTCTATGTAAACTTTGGATTTTAAATAGCCCCATAAAAAGTAATCACAACATGAAAGGTCTGGTGACCGAGGTGGCCATTCCACATTTCCATGCAACGAAATAAGGCGCCCAGAAAAATGTTCCCTTAAACAGCCCATTGCAGCTCTTGATGTATGGCAAGTCGCCCCATCTTGTTGGAACCAAACTGTATTGATGTCAATGCGTTGTCTTCTTTGTTCGGGCAGAAAATAATCACGCGACGTGGCGCAATAACGATCTGAGTTCACTGACACTGTTCGTCCGTTTTCACGAAAAAAATACGGGCCAATTATGCAATTTCGAGATACGGCACACCAAACAGTTACCCTCTCAGAGTGCAGAGGTTGTTCATGCAGTTCTCGTGGCTTTTCATGTGCCCAGTATCGGAAGTTTTGTTTGTTTACCATGCCCGATAAATGAAAATGGGCCTCGACACTCATGAACAAAACGATGTTACCGTGCAGCAATTCCAGCATCCTTTCTGCGAACCTGTGTCGTCTCACAAAGTCATTTTGGAGCAGCTTCTGCACAACCATAATTTTATACGGATGGTAATGGAGGTCCAAATGCAAGATTCTGCGAACTGAACGATCTGACATTCTAAGAGCGCGAGCGTGACGTACCGCTGAACGGCGAGGGCTAGTATCCACCGCTTGTTGCACTCTTTCAATGTTTTCCGGAGTTCGCACTGTTCGATCTCTTCCCCTTGCAGTACCAGGTCTCAACGATCCGGTTGTTTGAAATTTATTCACCCACTTCAAAATGGTATCGCGTCTTGGAACGCGACCATGCCGACCAACGTTAAAATGGTTTCGAAATCGTCGCTGTGTAAATAAAACCGCGATGTGCCACAGACCACGGCTCCATGGCTACTAAAATGGCATCGCGGAACGAGTAGATATCAATCATCGTGAAAACATTGGCTCGACAGTGCTGCATGTAATAGTCGTTGCAAAAACACCATACTTCATTGCCGGACCCTGTATATAGTTTCGTGGTAGAGGTTATACCCTCTCCAGACTCCCGCGCGGATCGCGCGCGAAGCCGCGAACTACCTGCGACCCATGAGTGTGGAACCCATTCGCGTATTCTTCGCGGCTTCACGTCGCGTTCGCGCGTCGTTCCCGTTTGCTGTCGGTTTTTCGTCCCGCGACAAAGGGTTCGCAAGGCGCTAACATATTGCGAACATGACTAGGCTCCTCATTCGCTGGTGGCTCAGTTGCCTCATAGCGAGTGACGGCAGTGGTTGTGTTTTTCTTTATGGATACGAATTTTCGATTTGTCGTGAAAAATGAGTTTTAACTGGAGTAACCAATTGGAACTATCATTTTTGGAATATTTACGTGCTGAACCGGTACTGTGGGACACTAAGATAAAAGACTATAGGAATAAATTTAAAACTCATGATGCATGGATGCGGATAAGCTCAGTGATGGAAATCCCAGTGGATGAATTGAGAAAGAAAAAGATTCTTTAATGTCAAGTTATAGGAGTTATAAGAACAAAGTCAAAAAGTCTATTCAATCGGGAGCTGGTGCCGATGATATATATCAGCCTATTTGGTTCGCTTATGAAACTATGGATGAGTTTTTGGGAGGTACCCTCAAGTGTAAAAATAATGTTGACACGGTAAGTGAGCTATATGTTTTATTAATAAAGTACTTAAACATTACTTAGATATTTGGTGAATTCGTTTCTTATTTCTGTGGCATCTTTTGGTGATCGCCGAGCTACGTTCCTCAAGTTACGGATAGCACAAGTTTTTTCTTGTTCTTTCCTCCATGATCCAGGTTGTATAAGTACTGAATCATCATCATAAATGTCAATAAATCCGGGTGGTGTATAGATACACGAAGAAGTGGAGCTTCGTCTCAAGAAATTATGTAGTAATATACAAGTCATTGTTATAAGGGTAGCTTTTTCTGGTTGTAATGGAATCGGCTTTCTAAACACTCTAAATCAGGCAGTCATCATACCAAAAGTATTTTCCACCACCACTCGAGCTGAAGATAATCTCTTGTTAAATTCACGTTTTTCTGATCCTATGTTGTGCTGACCAAGATAGGGCTTCATTAAGTGTTCTGAAAGTGCAAAGGCTCCATCTCCCAAAAAAATGTAGGGAACATCAATATTTGAACCGGGCAAAGGATGCGGCGGTGGTAAATTGAGCTATTCGTGCATATCTTGTTCCATAACAAAGTATTGGTGAAAACTCCACCGTCACTTATTCTGCCTTGGCAGCCAATGTCAGCAAATATGAAGTTGTACTGACTATCAACTAATGCCAATAATACTATACTGTAGGTTCTTTTATAATTATAGTATTCAGAGCCACAATTGAACGGACAGTCGAGAACAATATGTTTGCCATCTATTGATCCTATTGCTCGAGGAAACTTCCTTGCAAATCCTTTCTCAATACAAAGCCATTCTTCCGGACAAGACGGTATCTGCAAAAAAGAAAACATAAAACCTTCGTCTGACACCACAAAGTGATAGAAACTCTTCAATATATATATATATATAACCTTCATGAAATTGTATGTTTTTTTTAGGAACGCGGGTTGGAGGAGACTCAAGGAGCAAATTCCGAACCAACTGAAGAGATACTTGAAGAGACGAATGAAAATCAAAGTCAGTCTATGGACACCCAAAGAGACGGCAATCAGACAATCCGCCGACGCCAAAACCCTTCGGAGCTGATTCATGCTGGAAATATTGTTAAAGATGCTCTTGCCACATTCAAATCCGCGCTAAACAGAAATGAATCATCAACCCATCTTAGCGATGATTGCGATTTATATGGCAAATTATTGGCAAATAAGTTGCGAAAGCTATCTGAAATTAATAGATTAAAGTTTATGCACGACATTGACGGCATGTACCTACGATACCAATTGGAGGAGACGCCCTCCCTGCAAACTCCATCGCCAACATATCCTAGCATCGCCCACAACTTTAATGAATCAAGGCCTGGCACATCATCATCTACGTATTCAGAGCCTACCAATCGCAGGTGACTCAGCAAACTTATTGTCAAAATAGAAAAGCAGTATCAGCCCCACCTTCTAAGATTATGATTCAATCCAACCAGGTGATTCGCACACCTGATGTTGAATATCCTGTCCTCCATATTCCGAACCAAGTCACCGATAACCCAGAATCTAATCAGGCAATTAATATAATCCAAACAGCATTCGACTTGACTTAAATCACATGAAAAACATTGAATGTACGGCTAAATTTGCCCGTATCTTGATATCAATTTATATTTTTGATCTGATGTCAGATGCATATGTTATATTTATATTAGCCACTGGTATTCGGTACTCACATATTTTTAGATATAACCAGTCGTGTTAGATTTAAGATTATTGTATTACATACGTGTGTTTTCAATATACTTAAACAAATTTTCATTAAAAAAATATTTTCTTCGATACTTACTCTTATTTCATCCTTCAATGCCTGACATAGGGCTAGACAAACTTCTGGAATAATTTCTGATATTATTTGTGGTGATATTTTGAACAAAAAATGAAGGCTTTCATAGCTATCTCCTGTGGCTAAGTATCGCAATGTTATAGCAAGACGTATCTGGGCAGGAATAGCTTTTCTTAATTGGGTGTCTTGTTTTGAAATTTGGGATGAAATTTGATTTAGTAAGTATTCAAAATCATTTAACGACATCCGGGAAAACTTTTTGAATTCACCGGAAGGTTCAGCAACTAATTCATCTATTTGCTTCTCCATAACAGCACTGTAACAAAAAGCAAAGACTAAAAATAAGGTAGAGGTCAAGTTATCGAGTATTAGCCCTTGTAGTACATGATAAGTGAGTGCAGCATGAGCAGAATATTTCACTTTTCAAGCCTTCATCACAACTGTCATTTTATACAGCTAAAAGTGAAATACTTGTTTTTTAGTATCTGCGATGGCAGTAAATATAAGACACTGAGCTGCGTGCGACCATTATTATCTTGATATTAATTACCTGGTTCTATTTCGGTGGATGGTGGTGATCCACCATCTTCGTTTTCTCCACTTCTTCTTAATTGTTATTCTTTTACTTATATCGGCGTAATTATAAATTGCCAAAGCGCAAAGTAGCCCAGCAGCAGCAGTAGCAATTTCACCGTCCATACTCGTCTCAAGCGCGAACTATACTGTGAAGCAGGCGCGAACATCTGCGAGTGTGGAACTGTAGAACACTTTTCGGGTTTCGCACTGCGATTCGCGCCGCGATTTCACGCCGTGATCCGCGCGGGAGTGTGGAGAGGGTATTAAGTTTCAATTAGTTACTTATAGCACCGCCGGCAGAGCTTTCTGAAATATTTCATTCACAGTTAAGGATGCTGCTGGTACTGTGACCCAACTCAGGATGTTATGTAGCAAATATTGACGTCAAAATGAAAAGTTCTCAACAGGTGTGGTGAAACAAAAAGTTTACTGTTGGATTAATGCCTATTAGATTAATATTACTGTGTTTCACTTCACATAACAATATGTAGTTTGCTGCGGTCTCTTGCAGAATTTGATGTCAGCTAGTATATATCGAGCAAAGTCCGTTAGTCTGTGTATCGTTGTGTCGGTCGCATGGGTATTCAGCCGAACGACAAGCGAGACGCCTCGTTCAAGATTATAGCATCATAATCGTGGCGGGGTCAAGAGGGGCGGGTATTGGTTGAGAGGGGGCTGAGTTCGTTTAGCTAATGTATATTCCGGACTCCGACCGGCAAAGACTCATGATGATGTAGATGAGCTGATCGATAGTATTGAGCAGTATCTGAAAATAACAGCCTGATTAGAACATCAAAATATAGTAGTCTGAGATACAGTCTACGATGAAGTGTTCACCGTTTCAACACATTTAAATTCAGTAGGTTATACAGCAGGCTATACAGTTCCTTTCAGAAAGGTCCTCCTTTATCTAGTTTTTGAACAGCTCAAGTTAGCAAACTCATCGGGGTGATGAAATATTCTATACTAACACTACATTCTAACATGAAGATAATAGTTGAACATTTCGAGATGGCGGCTGAATCTCATCCTGGAGAATTTTTAAATGACATAAGAGACCATGCCATACCCCGTTGTGAAGCTTCTTTTTCTTTGTGATCTAAGAATATATAATCTTGCTCCTTCAAAATGGTGGAATAGCTGTCAATATTGTGCATTTTTGTACATTGAATCGGCTATAGCTCAACAATTGATCAAAACGTTATAGTATCTTCTATCAATCTTCTTTTTATCGTAAGGTCTATCTGAATATGTAATCAAATACGGGTTGATCAGGTAAAAAAAAACAGATTTTGACACTTTTAAATAGGGGTGTACTTTATTACACATTCGAATATATCCTTCCAAGAGACGAAGACTGATGTAACATACTTTATAGCTTTGATGCTTGGCTGTTGATTTATAGGGCACTTAATTTACAAAAATAGTCAAACTAAAAATAACTCAGCACTCATATTCAAATAAGGAAGGTACCGCATGCCCCCTATAAAAATGTTCTAATATAGCGCCCAGCTGCGATTTTGGAAATTTCAACGGTCACTTTTACGCTAAAACATAGAATTTATGTATCAACTTCATTATCCTGAGTTTCATCTTGCTAACTTGACCCGTTCGAGAAATAAGTATGAGGGGCTTTTCTGAAAAGCACTTATATACAAATTTGAGCATATAAGCTATGCATATGCAAATATAATGTCTAGATATCGATTTGAATTTCTACAAGTACAATATTGAAAACGTCTCCAGGTATTACTACTGGAAGTCGGTAATTCTCTGATCATTCATGTCAGATGAGTACATCGCTTTCTTATCACGTATTGAACTTATGTTCTTAACTTGTTATCGTTTTTGGGCAATCTACAAATTATTGATTCTTACATTTTTCACTGCAGCAGTATTATTCCTTGACTGAGTGGCTTACCATACACATATCGTCTCTAATATTTGTGTATGTACGATTACTCGAACGGTCGGCAGTTTCACTTCTAATTTCTTCTAAATAAATAATGGGAATGTATTTTTCTTTTTCTGCATATTTTTAATTTGTGCATTAAAAGAAAACTCCATTGATTAAGGAGTTCTCTCTGTACTCCTCGTCGAAAGAATCAGTCAGTAAGAATTGATTTTTATTCTAGATCCCGATAGAACGTGATCCTACATTTTATGTGAATCTGCGATTATTTGTATCTTATCTTACGGACGGCTAGCTTCTAAAATCCGAAATTTTCTACAAAATATCAAAATCTCAGAATATAACTTTTGGAATCAAAATTTGTTAATCTGTCAAGATAAGAATATCATAAAATATTTTTTTTAAACAATAACTATAACACTGGTTGAAAATTTTGTCAGCGAAAAGATTATAGGGACTTGTTTAGAGCATGGCTCGTTTACACAGACGATTAATTTTAAACGTTTCCACTAAAGCATTCCGCATTTCACATTTAAAGTCACTGATCGATCGAGTAAATCTGTTCTAATAACACTGGACAACAAATTTTAGTTTTTTAATTGTATCTTGTGGGAAAAGTGTACTTCTTTGTTAATTTTGGGGCGCTGAATCCAAAAATAACAATGAAATAAAAAAATTAGTTGCGGTTTAGAAAAAAAACTTTTTATTTTTAAGACTATATTAAAAAAGTAACAAGATTCATATACTTATAAGAATCACTATATGCGCTGTCTTTTTGCTGTTCTTTTATGGATCATTTCTGGAGCATCTCTACCAAGAGTCCAACAGTAGTCTGCAAGCATGGAAGGATTCCACTTTCCCTGGTACCTTTTTTCCATTGTTGAAATATCCTGATGAAAACGTTTTCCGTGCTCATCACTTACGGCTCCGCAATTGTCAGGAAAAAAGTCCAGGTGTGAGTGTAGGAAATGTATCTTAAGAGACATATTACAGCCCATCCTTTGATACGATGACAGCATACTTTTTACAAGGGTTTTATAGTTGTCAGCTTTTCTATTTCCCAAGAAATTAGTGAACGCCAGACGGAAATCATTCCAAGCAGTTTTTTCAATACCTGTTAAAGTGTTTTCAAACTGTGTATCTTTCAAAATATTTCGAATCTGTGGCCCAACAAAAATACCTTCTTTAACCTTTGCCTCACTTAGTCTTGGAAATTTCTGACGCAGGTATTGAAAAGCTGACCCATCTCTATCTAATGCCTTTACAAAGTTTTTCACTAGGCCCAACTTGATATGCAGTACCTTTGCCCGACTGTCCCATTCACATCGTATTTTATGCATGTCAATAGGTACTTCATATTGTCATATGATTCTTTCATGTGAACTACATACCCTACAGGAAGAGATGGTAAAATATTTCCAATATGCAATAACACTGCCTTTAAACTCAATGTTGAACTGCCTATAAACAATCTCCATTCTTGTGGGTTATAGTTTATATTTAAAGCCGCCAGTAAGCCGTTAATGTTACTGCAGAAAACCAAGTTATTCTCCATATTGAAAAATGGTTCTAAGTGTTTGTGGCGTTTACGAAAAACACATACCGAAACATCGTCTTCTAACAAGTTCCACTGCTGCAGTCTTGATCCAAGTAACTCTGCCTTACATTTTGGAAGTTCTAAATCTCTTACAAGATCATTTAATTCTGACTGTGTTATTTTGTGCGGTTGGTGGCATGACGTGCTCGGTATAAAATCAGGATCTCTTGACGGTGATGACATATCTTCTTCCTGACGAATCACTCGATCGCCATGATCTGATTCGTTTTCTGATTCGCAAGTGCAGGATTCTGGGGGTTTTGGAATAGGATTTTCGTCACTGTGAGGCACAGGTCTCATCGCAGATGGTATGTTTGGGTAGTTAATAACCGATTTTGTTTTCTTGGACATACCTGTGGCTTGTCCAACACAAGGTACCATGCAAAAGTAACAATCATTAATATGATTTGTAGGCTCTCTCCAAACCATTGGGACAGCAAAGCGCATAGACCGTTTTTTGCCATTTAACCAGCTCCTCAGACTTGAAGCACATGTATTACAGCAGATGTGGGGTGCCCACTGTTTGTCTTGATCACCTAGTTTACAACCGAAATAAAGCTGATATGCCTTTGTTATTAGTGGAGTAATAGACCGTCTCTGAGACGTAAAAGTCACATCACCATACACGTAACAAAACTGATCTGGATTGTTTACACACTTTCGAGACATCTTGCATGAACGCTGTCAGCCAACTGAGGAAAAAATGTTAGTATAAAACAATATAATGTACATGTATGTATAACGTAACACAATCATGCCGATTACATCATCTTTCCTTGCCGAATATAAAAATGTAGCACGTGCATTCTTGTGAATTACAGTATATTAACACTTCACAGCAGGAACACATATAATTACCGTATCTCTGAAACTTGAACTAATATTGAAAAAATAAGTTTCATTCCGGTTTTAGCACATTAAAAATAGTAATATTTTGTTGATTTTATTTAGGATATTTTTTGGCTGTTGATCAGTGTAATTAAGACACAACTGTAAGACGTGTTCCCACCTTTTTTCAACTTTTTGCATTGTGCAACATTAGAATCTATATTTCAAATTATCTATATCCTGCACCCAATATCAAAAACAATAATCATCCCAGCACGCTAACAGGCATTTTAGTTGTTTCAGAAACACGACGGCATCGACAAAGCGTGACACAGCTTCCTATGATTACAGTTCCCTTCAAAATACCACCGGCGGATTACATCTCTGTCACTAACAACAATCCTCTGTGTGTTTGCCTGCATTCTCATCTATGACAGGTAGCATTCTAATCCGGCGATATCCATGTTAAAGTCCTTCTCGATTACATAGCGCAGGTGGGGAATCGAAATACGGTTCATGGAGAAAAATGTCCAGGACGAGAGACATTCTATTCTGAAAATTATGTGAACTTACTGGCAGAAGTCAGGAACGATTGAAGTGGCGATACTGAGACAAAAAAAAATTTCATGAAAAACAATATGCTTTTTGCTGACATAAAGCGATTGAAGGTCATAAGCCTAAGGTGAAACACTGCACACCTAAAAACCTTTGACTCACTGCGTCACTAGTGACATTAGAAATTAGGAAAATGGAGAATCCGTGAAATTTTTTAATATCAATGTCTTTTTTATCACACGTTCTGTGGAAGAAGGATTTTCCTGAGGAAACTTTCATTGTCGATTATAGTTGTGGAGTCCGCAATTAGCATAAAAAACATATGCAAAACCTCGAAAATATGAGTAAATTGGTAGATGTAACTTCTACTT